AGTATGTATGGAGACCTGAGCTGAGGGACCTAATAGCGAGGGGCTTTCCTGTGGGTTATAAGCTGGGGCCTCCCGATGGTTCCCCTCTAACCCTGTGCCCATGCTGAGTTATACCCCAGAATGTAACCAGGAACATACCTTGAATGTGACCATTATACTATTCACAAAAAGAGGGCAAGGGAGAGGCGCCTCGGTTTGGCTCAGTTGGTTGAGTGTCAGATTTCAGCTCAGGTCATGATCTCACAGTTCATGGGTCTGAGCCCCGCATCGGGCTCTGTGCTGACAGCTCAGAGCCTGAAGCCTGCTTCGGATTCTCCCTCTCTCTGTGTGTCCCTCCCCCACTTGTGTCCTCTCTCTCTCTTTCTCTCTCTAAAATAAATAAACATTAAAAAAAAAAAAAAAAAAAGGACAAGGAACCATATTGCATCAGCTTCCACATAGTGGCTCCAAATGCTGGGGAAACTAAGGGATATATATTCAAATCTCTTGAAAATGGGCTATTTTGAGCAGTTACTCTATAACCATACAGAAAAGTGCCTAACAGTAGCCTTATTTTCATCAAGGTTAACACGAAGTCCAAACAGAAGATTTAAATTGACCATTGAAGACACTCTCTGGGGCCCGCTGCTGTCGGGCTTGAGGCTCCCCGATTGTACAAGTCTCTGTACTGCCTGCCCCCTGCTGGCGGAAGGGTTCCTGCAGCAGCTCGGTACACGGGCGAAGAGAGGAAGCAGTGTGATGAAAGGGGTTTCTCGGGAAAAGCTCAGGGAGACAACAAGCAAAGATGTCGATGGACTCGATCTTGCTCTGAGCGGATTTCCATCCAAAATAACTTTTCAAACGTCAGCGACGCGGAGGTGGCCGCAGCCCGCAAAACTCGCAACCCCAAAGCCGATCCCGTGCCTCTCGGGACCCACAGCTAAATCACCTGCTGTCTCCAGGAGTTTGCACATCATCCAGGCCGTCACTGACGTCAGCTCGCTGGGCTTGGCTATGACGGTGTTGCCGGCAGCAATGGCCGGAGCCACCTTCCAGGTCAGCAAGTAGAGTGGCAAATTCCAGGGGCTGATCAGACCAGCTGCAAGAGGACAGAAGCACCTTCAGCAATGGCATGCCCCTCAAAGCAGGCTGGCCACACTGGGTTTCTTCACGTGGAGCTCCTCCCTCCTGCATCAAAGTGAAGCTTACTCTTCTAAAAATCCCCAATTCTGCTATTGGTAGCCACCTTCAGGAAAAGAATTCTGAAACGTATCATACGCCATTGTGCCTCTTCAAACTATAAACCCATACAATTTACTCTTTTCTTGATGTCATAACAATTGTATTGATGAACAAACAGCAATATAAGTTCTAGGACCAAGAGGCTGTCACTTGTCACTAAACAGTTCCAGCTGTGATGAGTTTTGAGATTTATAGTCCGATGTTCACATTTTTTTAAACCTCTCTCTCCTTCGTCATCAAACTGTGTAGCTCCTACTTAAGGTTTTCCATCACTGTTTCTAATCTGTTGTGGATTAAGACATAAAGTCTCAAGCTTTTTAGAATTATTTGTAAAATAAGAGTAAATCAGTAATGAGCGTGCCCTGTGGGGGCTTCCTACTAGTAAGGCCGATGAATTCTGATGCATAGACTGAGAAATCCATTTTGGAGAGCCAGGGGATTTTTTAATAAAAAATTCTCTCTAGGTTCTCACCTGTATCATGAGCAGATAGGATTGCTAAACAAGTGATAGAACCAGCATCTAGAATTTGTTCCCATGCGAGACTAAAACCATGTGTAGGCTTCCATCCATAACACACACACACACACACACACACACACACACACACACAAAATACCTTATGAATAAGTAAATGGATTCATTTTATTTTATACTCTTCCCTCAAACCTGTGCTGTGAAAGTAAACATACACTCTATATTATTATATTTCTCGTTGGAAAATCTTTTCTTTAGGGGATAACAGTATTTTTTCAGCATTGTATATCATCATGCTTCTTAGAGGAAGGTTTGAGCTTCTCCTAAATGCCTTCAAAATGTGATTTCCAAAGGGTTCAAATAATCAAAGTGGTAAAATGTCCCATTTTCTTTCCTTTTAATTTATTTTATCCTGTCATAAAATGTAATAAATATGGGAGGTTGGTGGGTTTTTTCCTCGGAGGAACAGTGACATCTAGTGGATATTTTGAGACATTGCTCATATTTATATGTCCTCCAAAAGGAAGCAAGAAGCGGCCCATTCAGTCAAGGCTCACTTATCTGGCACTGTTCTAAGTGCCCTACACTTACTAATTCATTTAATCCATGTTAAAATATATAAGTATAAAATTAAACTATTCTCTCAGTTTTTCAGATAAGAATCGTGAAATATACAAATGTTAACGAAACTGACCCTGCACATATCCAAATCCATGCTGTTAACTACAAGCCTCTCTGGAAAGAAACTTTTTTTTTTTTTTTAGTTGTATGGGGGGAAAATCTTTGTATGTGAATTTCCTCTCGGTATTATTCTTTTCCTGGTAATTTCCCAGGAACGATGTTTTCGGAGTAAGCGGGGAATTTGACACAAAGAAAAATAACCTCGAAATAGATTTTTGAGGCCCATTAATTTTCAGTCCAAGTAGAAGAAATCATCTCTTTCCTTTTTCTGGGTCTGTTCCCTTAGATCGGTGCTGCAGGACCGACGGGGCGTCCCTCGGCACCAACCCAGTGCAGGCTTTCACCCAGCAGCACCTACCGATCCCCACGGGGGCCCGCAGGGTGTAGTGCAGACAGCCTACGTGGTCCATGTGTGTGCACTCTGATGTGTGGTGCAGGATGGAGGAGGCGAAGAACCGGAAGTTCTGCACAGACCGGGGGATGTCCATGGTTCTTGCCAACGTTATGGTTTTCCCTGTAACAAGTCAGCAACAGGAGGTACTGTCAGTGTAGTGGAGACACTACCGCACCTGCATCCTAACTCACGCTCACGTAGCCTTGGTGCCTTCCAGCCCCGGACCCCAGCCCTTGACTAACGGACAGCTGATCGTGGTTTCATAAAGCTGTGAAATAATTAGGTATGACGTTATAAGATGGGGGGGGGGTTCTTAAAACGGAGTCAAATAATCTTTGTTTGTGGGTGGGGGAGGGGTTGAACAATTGATAGCGATCATGAATTCGCCAGACGCTACCACTCCGCTCACATCAGCTCTTTCAGTTCAAAATCACCATGCCTTGTGCAGGCTACAAAGGGGTTGGAGTAATGGGTGTTAGGACAGCTGTATCTGCACGACACCATAAAACCCCTCGGACAGACATACGCTGTACATGAAATGTCCCCCAGCACGTGGCGGAGACCTTCAGATGGGCACGTGACAGAGCGACCAATGGCATCTGGAGGTTGGCATGTGACGCTCGCTCACCATGTGCCCCATGCACGACCTAGCTCCTGGACGGAACAAAAAGAGACTCCGGACTTTTCCTTTATTCTCTTTGGCAATTCCGGGGGACTCCCCGCAGCAGGAGCACCAGCAGGAAACATCTCCTTCTTAAGGGCTTAGACTCAAGCTGCTTCCTAAGTTTAAGCTGATATATAGCACACATACCATTTTAAAAGATCTTGGGTTTTCCTAACAGACATCCCTGCAAGGATTTATGGGCATTTACTCCATTATCCACACCTCTGGGACGGTAGCTGCTTTGGGAGCGGAACGCTGACCTGTCGCACTCTTTCTGAACAACTTGACTGTAACTGCTCTTCAATTACCCGCGCTTAGAACCCCTCTGCCTAGGATTGGAGAATTGCAGGATCAGCCCTCCTCTTCCTCTCTCCCCATATCCGTGCCCTTTGCCAAGCATCTCCGCCATGCCTTCCGCCAAATGGACAAAATGTATTTGCTTTCCTGCCCTGGAACCTGGGCTCAGCTCTGACTTGCTGTGGCCATCAGAATGGGGCAGACGTGGGCCAGATGCCAAACTCCCAGGTGGTTCTGCTTTCCACCTCTACCTCTGCCATGAGAAGCGTCGTGCAGGCTAGCCTGATGGGAAGAAGGTGCCCTGAGTCCCATCCATTGTGGTTAAGAGGCAAGAGGTCCCCTGCCCAACTGGAACGAGGGTGTGAATCTCCAGCGTCTGAGTAGTTGTACTGCACTTGCCATAAAGCACTGCTAACAGGCGGCTGCACTCACCTTGGTCTCTGGATTCCGCCTGGGCCAAGTCCTCCAGGGATTTCTCGAGCAGATCTGCCAGCCGGTGCAGCACCTGTGAGCGCTCCTGGGGGCTCCTGGCCGACCAGCCGGGAAACGCTGCCCTGGCGGCCTCCACTGCAGCTTCGATCTTTGAGGAGCATCAGGAAGACAATCACCTTAGGACTGTTGCTCCTGAGGTTCGAGGAACCCAGAAACCACAGCTCCACGCATGCCTAATTTTTTTCAGCCTAGTTTCAAATATGCAACACTTGCTAGTGCTGAGTTACCTGCAAAGTGGTGTTTTCGTGACCGGTGAATCGGGGCACCACAAAAACAAAGAAGAGGGATCCGTTTTGACCAAGGTGTGCAGATGTGGCCATCAGATTATTAAAAAGAAGTTGTTTGAGGGGCGCCTGGGTGGCTCAGACGGTTAAGCACCCGACTTCGGCTCAGGTCATGATCTCGTGGTTCGCGAGTTCGAGCCCCACATCAGGCACTGTGCTGACGGCTCGGAGGCTGGAGCCTGCTTCAGATTCTATGTCTCCCTCTCTCTCTCTGTCCCTCCCCTGCTCATGCTCGCTCTCTCTCCCTCTCTCTCTCTCAAAATTAAATAAACATTAAAAATAAAAGCCATTTTAATTTTAACAGATGCACGTTTTCAATCATGTCAAAATACACATTTTTTTAATATCATAGGGAGGGGAAACTCATCTAGACATGTAGAATCTCTAAACTTTTAATCCAGCTCCAACACATCTGAGAAAGTCTAAAATTTTGCTTGAAATCATATCTGCAGGCTGTCTTTCCCCTCTGAATGACTAATTATAATAGCCATTTACTAATTTTTCTATATAAAGGGATGTTAGACACACAAATTATTTCATCTAACCTGTTCTAAAATTCTAAACCATGCCTATTGCTATGCCCATTATGCAGATGAGGAAACTGAGGCACAGAGCGCTCAAGTCACTTAGCAGAGGTCACACAGCCAAAAAGTGGCAGTATCAGGATTCAAACCCAGATCTTTGTGGCCCCCGAGACCATGGCTGGCCTTCTGTGGCACAGCCTCAGTCCCTGCCCCTGCCGGGCTCTGCCCAGTAAAAGAGGCCTGTTGGGGAGGAGGATATGTGTTTGAACAGATAGTTGGGAGACCTGGTTTTGGAGCCAAATCCAAAAATATACAGGGGAAGGTACAGGCAAGACCAATTCATGCAAGGTGAAACGGGTCTTCAGGTCATGGGCTGACTTTGTCTGCCCCTTAGCAAAGTCTAAGCAGTATCTTCCAGAGAAAGCAAATCCATAGCCTGTGTCTCACCCCTCTCCCCTCTCACACACATGACAAGACTATAATAACTCACAGCTTGCTTCTACCCCTGGGCTCAGACCCAGCCTCAGAATCCTTTTCCACAGGCTTCAGGTCACCACGAGCATCTTTCTCATGTCACATGATCTGACAATTCTGCTGCCCTCTCCCCCCAAACCTGACGTACATTCCTCCTTTGCTTTCTTTATAGAAAACAGAGTCCCTCTCAGCGGGGCTGAATAAAGGATACAATGAGTCTCATTTCAATTACACATTTCTGGGAAAAAAATGGTGTTTTCATTTCAAAAGCTGAATCTCTAATGTGGACCCACAGAAACGATGAAGGAAGAATGTGGGCTTTCCACCAGAAGCTGCCACCCGGCCGAGGCCTGGGTGCCCGCCAACAAGAGGAGGGTTCATTCCTGCTGTGGTCAGTACAAAACGTCCTCTTCCTGAGGTTGTCAGTGTAAAAGCTAAGCTTTTCGCTACGCAGAGAACTCAAGTACAGTCATGTTTTCCAAGTTGTCTTAGAATACATGTGAATGTAACATGAGCATACGCTAAGACTTAGGAAGCATTTACTATTTGCCAAACACTAAGGGCTTTACACATACCAGTCTGTTTAATCCTTAGAACAACACTATAAGGTGTTATTATTATCCCCATTTTACAGGTAAGGCGACTGAGGAACACAGAAGTTCAGCTCTAAGTCAAGACCATACACACTAAGTTGTGCAGCTGGTCTCTGAAGCTAGGTGGTCCGACCCCAGTCTGTGCTGATGACTTCAAGCTATCATGTAAATGCCACCATACGTGTGTGTGTGTGGTCACTGATCTAAGCATCAGAGATGAGAACGTTAGCTCGCTGTCTGTCGTCTGTGGAATAAAGGACGATGATAAAGTCTTATTTGTAGGCTGTTACGACTCATATTGGGGATAATTCCGCTGTTAGCAAAACCAGCAGCACTTTCTGTGAGTGACTTTCTGTAAAATCGGGCATGTAGTTTGTACGTGGACCGTAGTTTTCAAGCCAGAAAAAGCTGGGACTTATGGGGATCAGAGAGAATATTTGCAGGGAAATCCAAAATGTTTATTTCTCTACCAGCAGGTGCTTCCATAGTACATTCTGTCTTCTGAAAAGGCATGAGCCATTAGCTGCAGAAAATATTTCAACTGAATTTGTCATATTTGTCGTTTTTAACTTCAGTTTAGAAAACACCCTGAGACCAGGAGGACTGGAAAACACAAAGCTGGATTTCCCACATCTATCCCAGGTCATTGGAAACAAACAAAATTGTGGGTTACAGTTTAACCAATAGATTAGCCAGTATTTGCTAACTTTAATCCATAAGTCTAAAGGTTTTTTTAATGCAAGACAGATTGAAAACATTATTAACAAATGAGAAATAATAGCTTAGTATAGATGAAGGCTTGTTTATATATCTTTATTAATATATGAAGGTTACAATTATCCTTTAAATAATCTAGTTCTTTGTGCCTTAAAAAATAAAATGCATTAGGCATTAGATGAGCATATGTCCATCAGCCACATTTATCACCCCAGACACATTTACATTGTCAATACAATAAGTGATAACTAATCAAATGTGTCTCCACCATTTTATAAAATTTCTCAAAATTAATTCAACATCAATAAAAAAATTTTAATGTGTGTGCCATTAAGCACTTTAAGAAAAAGGATGGTATTAAATTTAAACACAAAACTATATGGGAATTTGATTTTGCATTTCATCATTCAAATGATCAGTTTTACTTTACCAGATATTTTAAACACATAAGGAATTATTAAAGGATAACCTAAAATAAATCCCTGGGTTTTTACTTTTGCTTGTTTTTAGAGAAATAACAAGTTTTTCAGAAAACCATGAATATAGTGGCAAGTTTAGGCAACACTTGGTAGAGAAAAGGAAACAGTAATACTGATCATTCTTAACAACTAATAGTTTTTAGTAGACACCTATTAAGGAATGTCTGAGAAATGCAGCTGTGTGTTAAGCTGCCTAGACTAATAACTTGCTTCTGCACAGTCACCTGGGCTTTGTTCCTTTCTTTTAAGAATATTGTTTAAGTTGGGGCGCCTGGGTGGCGCAGTCGGTTAAGCGTCCGACTTCAGCCAGGTCACGATCTCGCGGTCCGTGGGTTCGAGCCCCGCGTCAGGCTCTGGGCTGATGGCTCGGAGCCTGGAGCCTGTTTCCGATTCTGTGTCTCCCTCTCTGTCCCTCCCCCCGTTCATGCTCTGTCTCTCTCTGTCCCAAAAATAAATAAACGTTGAAAAAAAAAATTTAAAAAAAAGAATATTGTTTAAGTTTATTTATTTATTTATTGGGGGGAGGGGCTGAGAGAGAGAATCCCAGGCCGGCTCCACGCTGTCAGCGCAGAGCCCGATGCAGGGCTCGAACCCGCGCACCGTGAGACCACCCTGAGCTAAAATCGGAAGCTTAGCCGACTCAACCACCCAGGCGTCCCAGGTAGCCCCTTTTGAAAGGTCACATGACACTGCTTCACTTTTTACCTTAGCACCTGTTTTCGCTAACCAAAAGAAACCCGAAGAGGATTTTCACTTTTATGAAAAGAGCCATTACCATAGTATGTACTTCTTTCCCAAAAGCAAAGTTGCATGACACGAACTTTCAGTAAGTGGAGGAAACTCTGCACTTTATGCCATTTCCACGGGTGTCATAGGAAGGCTCTCTTTTCAGATTGCGGGGGAAACCTACATCCTAGGAGTCCGATTACAAAGCAAACCTTCCCAGAACTACAATCTTCCTGCCCGCCGATGTTTAACAACTGGGCGCCTTTTCCCAATTCCCTCTGCTCCTAGAAAAGTAAGTGACGTGTAACCATCAAGACACCAAGTACGTTTCAGTCTCCCTAAGTGAACTACTCACCTCTTCGTTTCCACTGTCTGGCACCCTGCAGTGTACTTCCCCCGTGGACGGATCATAAGAATCGATATATGAGCTGCAAGGTACAAACTTTCCATTAATGAAGTTCTCCAGCGTCAGAAGTGCCTTTGTTCCGGCCATGGTGGAGACAACTCCTGTCTTTGTCCCCACTGGTGAGGGAGTCTCCCCACCCTGAGTTTGCCTTGTCCTCACCTCCAGCCCCGACGTCCTCATTTACCAATCAGGGAATGTGGGAGGTGTCCTGACACTCAGGAGCCTTCCAGTCTCCCAACTCTAAGTGAAGAGAGTTCTGGAATATTTCACAGACTTCCGGTACATTTTGAGAAAGGGATAATAACCTGGTAAAGTAACATCAGCTTATGTGTTCATGGCCCTTTGAAGTGTCAGAAGGTATCTGTGTATCTCCTTTTATTGCATTCACACTATAAGCTTTATTGCTCAAACACTGAGGGCCAGACCCTGAAGCAAGTCCTTGACACGAATGTACTCATTCATTCCGCACAGCAACCCTATATAAAGTAAGTGTCATTAAATCCCTTCTATTGTAGAAGAAACTGAGCCTCAAAGAAGTCAATTTGTCCAAAATCGCAGTTAGTAAGGAATGACCATTAATCCGTTTTTCTCCTAATCATGTTTTTCCTCCACACATCGCTGCCCTCACCCCACAGAGGTAACTGAAGACAGACTCCCTCTCTCCATCACTCATCTGTGTTTCTCTTTACCTTGCCTGCCTTCTCTCTGACCGGTCCCTCCATCCCGAAACCAGCAGCTTACCAGCCAGATGTGCCATGGCAATAAAGACGCAAGCCAAATATATGCATGGTGTGTATAACACACAAAGGATTCATATCTGTGATGTCTGTAAGAATTTCTATAAATTGGTGAGGGAAACGAACAGCCCGATTGAAAAAAATAAGCAAAGGCTAAAAAAAAAACCAAATAGCAACAATTCATAGCAAAAGGGATGCGATACACGATTGGCTAATGAAGGTATGAGAGGTGCTCGGTCACACTGTTAATCAAAGGATGTGAAGGACACAGAGATGCCCTGTCTCCCCAGTGAGAGACGGTACACATCCCCCGTGGGCAGCATGTACTCTTCGTGGGCTCCCACGGTGGGAGGGCTTACAACACAACACCTGGGAAGGCAACCAGGCAGTTGTCAACATTTTTTTTTATATTTATTTATTTTGGGGAGACAGAGAGACAGAGCGCAAGCAAGGGAGGGGCAGAGAGAGAGGGAGACACAGAATCTGCAGCAGGCTCCAGGCTCTGAGCGGTCAGCCCAGAGCCTGAGGGGCTTGAACTCATGGACCGCAGGATCATGACCTGAGCGGAAGTCTGACGCCTAACCCGCTGAGCCCCCAGGTGCCCCGGAAGTGTCAACATTTTAAATGTGCCCACTTGGAGTCTGGTAAGCCTAGGAATCTCTCTCACAGAATTTCTTGCTCTGGTGCAAGTAGCTAAGTCACAGGACATCTGTTTGCATGGTAATTTAAAAACTGTGAAAACCGTAGAAATGTCTACCAACCGATGAATATGGTAATTAGTTGTGACACCCACAATAAGGAATGTTATGGAGCCATTGAAAGGATGTGCTATTAGGTGAAGAAAGAGAGCTAGTGGATAATACGTCCTATATAATCTCCTTGGATGCCTATTTGAGTGAGGGGATGGAAAGGGGAGGGGGAGTGAGGGTTTTTTCCTCTTTTTACTCCATACAGTTTTAAATTTCATGAATACTTTGTGATGAACCTTTATCAATATGCCACTTCTGTAGTTAAAATTTTGTCAAATGTGAGATGTCAATATTAGAAATTCATTGGTCATTTGGGATGTTTCCTGGCTGTGCACGACCTTAGATCCTTAGGGCTTCCCTGCTCCCCCCTTGTTGGTCTCTAAATAATCTCCAAAATTCTTGCTAATCAGTGATGCAAAGCGAGAGGCTCTTCTTTCCCTAAGCTTCAGGCCTCTCTGCAGATCTAAAGGTGACCTCTGATGATGGTCTGGTGAACAAAGGACCAAGCTCCTGGTGTTCTCTCATTTGCAGCTCAAAGCCTCTGCAGAAACTTGGGAATTACAACTCATCTTATTTAATTTAGCCACGTTCTCGAGGCTCCTTCTCCTCACCCAGTAAGAAGCAGGGAAGAAGTTTAAAGGCAAACATTTTTCTTCTCCGCCTAAAATTCTTAACGTTCCTTTTCCAGGTGACTTTTCTTTTATCTTGTGTTATTGACGTGGGGTCATTTCGAGGTGCTTCTGTTGGATACCTGGTTACATATAAATAGAAACATACATGCAGGGACAAATACAACACGACATGCAGCCAGCGTCCATTCCGGAACCCAGAAACCAGGGTGGGTATTTCGAAGTCTAATGCAGGGTAATGGTTACATTGTGTTGGAAGGCCGAGAGAGGGGCCAGTCCGGCTGAAGCGCCCAGACAATAGTTAACATCAAAGAGCAGATGTCATGTCTGAGCCCCGGGAACACAAGAAGAGGTGGGTAGAGGGAGCTCCTGCAGGGCTGTGGCGTGGCCACAGCGGGCTGGGCCAAGGGCAGCTGGGGGCTGCAGCTCGGGCTGTCGCTGGAGAGATGCTGACAGGGCCTGGATACAGGGAGCGTCTCTTCCCTCCCCCTCCTTCCAGGCTCTTCCTAGTGCCTCCCGTTGGCAAAAAGCCACTTGGCAAGGGATCTGAGCGATAGGGTCTGCAGACCCCAGCTGTGGCCCCACAGTTCAAAGTACCAGGGAGGGAGCCTGGAGCAGAGAGCTGGCAGGGAAATACCCAGCCCAGACTGACTTTTCTTTTTTTTTAACTATTTTTTTTAATGTTTATTTTTATTTTTATGTATTTATGTATTTACTTTTTTGAGAGAGACAGAGTAGACAGACTTTTCTTAGCTTGTGTCCCTGATTCTCCCACTCAGCTTCCAGTGTCTTGTTTGCTCCTTCCGAACCTTCTAGAAGCCCACCCTTCTTTCTCCTAAGCACGTCATGCTCAAAAATATGCATCACCCTCCCTTCCCCTCCCCCACTTCACTGAGGTATCTCTCACCCAAGCTATTGAGAAAAAGATCTGATTGTGTGACAGAAACAACGGAGACTAATGTGGATTGCTTAATCAAGGTTTTTGTCTTTTTGTATAGTTTGCAATAATCCAAAAGATTCTAATTAGAGGACTACCTAAGGGAGATCTTTTAAACAGAAGGGACTTTCCAAGGACACCGGGGTGGGGGGGTGGAATTTTCTGACACAGAGGAGCAGAATAGTGCGAGAAGCTGGCCCCAGTACTTGTAACGTGCACTTGGTGCTTCTCAGAACTTCTCACAGAAATCGGCCCAGCTTCAGAGCAGACATGAAGTCAGCTTTAGCTGGTGCATCTTTGTGCCACTTGTCATTCAAGCTTGATTGACCTGGTCCATTTGGGCATAGTGCCCTGGCCCTTCACTTCCCTTCTCCCTCTGTCCTAGCAGCCCCTTCCTGTCTACACGGCAAGCATTGATCCCCACGTGCCGCTCAGCCACAGGCCTGACTCTGGAACCAGAGCGCAGGTGAAGCGGGAGACACTTCCTGAGGACACGGCATTCAGCCTCACTTCGGCCTGAGCCCTAATGGGTCTTCATGCCGTTCCCTTGAAACTCAGGACCAATCGTCTCTTGCCTGTTTCCCTTAAGGAGACTAAAATCCGATACCCAAGCCTAGGAGTAGAGACTCTACTCCCTTGTGGTTCCACCTGCCTCACTGTACCTCTGCATGTGACCTGCTCCCGAATCCTGCGGACTGGTCCACCTGCTCTGCAGTGCTCGTCCTGCTGAGCCCAGACCCCTGGATTGCATCCAAGTGTACTCCCACTGGCAGCAACTGCCCCCGCCGCACCCCAGCGGTTGCTCTAGCGCCAGGGCCTGCACCGTGAGAATAGAGGGCTCAAGGCTTTAAGTTCCACTGACAAAATTATGAACACGAGGTGTGCAATATTCTGAACATCAGTAGTTCTAGAATACTTCAGAAGGCGACAGGGTAATTCTCACCTCATAGGCAACAAATTGTTCTTTTTGGAATTATTCCCTGATTTTCCACGATCCTCTCGAGTGCTTTTGGAACTCTGAACCACCCAGGTGGGCCGCAGTACCAAGAAGTACACGGTGTGTTTGTTACGTAAGCATCTCCAGATGCCATAGGGGAAGATACGGGTACCTTCCAGTTCTCTCTCTCACCTTCGTCTAGGGGAGACAGAGCACGAAGCAAGTCACAATGGAGTAGCGCGTGGGTACCCCGAAGGCGGGCACTATGCTTGGCAGAAACCCAGGGCGGGGAATGGAGAGCTCCACCTGAGTTCAGTGAAGGGACCAGAGGACTGGACTTTGGAGGTGGATAAGGAAGGAAGGGGAGGAAGTTAACAGGCAGACAAGAAGTGGGTAATTCCAGGCAGAGGCAATACCTGTTGAGGACCCCACCATCCTTCTGTCTCCACAAGAACCTTGACCAGAAGACACTCTCCTCTCTGCCCCCTCCTTCTCCCCTCTCCTGGTTCTGCAGCCTTTTAATGGGCTCAAGTCTCTCTACTATAATATTGTATCCTGTGACTATATGCAGGAAAATAGAAGCCTGATAAAGTGAAAATGTGTCTCTTCTCCAGCACGAGAACACTGCTCTGAGAATCACAAAATTAAACCCAGTTAATGGGGTACCGAATTGATATTACAAAGGCCACACGCTACCTCCTGCCCCTATATTGGAGGCATAATTTAATTGACTTGTTTGTTCTGTCTTACACCATTATTTCTACCTATTTAAGTGGTTTCCAAGTAAGGAAAAAGCTGCGTCTGAGAGCTGAAAGCTGGCTTGGCCATCTTGGGTAGGCCATGGTGTTCTTCTATCAAACATTAACAATTCCTAAATCTCTGACATCAGACAAGGTCACTGTGATCCTGAAGTGAGATCCTATAACCGCTGAGCGAAAAGCACTGTGCAAACCGTAAAAACGACTCAACGACTCCCTCCTGTGGCTAACTTGAGTGACTGCTGTTGCTTTACTTGCAGCCATTGCCCCTCCCTCAAAGGGTACCCAGTTGCAGAATTACTTCCACTTTCTGACAGCCACCAAGTCCAGAAGAAACCCT